AGACAGGAGCATCAAAGGAAACCGATACGGTACTAACGGTCCCATTTGTGGGCATTGCACAAGGATTGGTAGCTAGTTGTCTCGCTGGCGACGGTTCAGGACTAACACTCGTCAAGCCTGGCGAACACGAAAGTATGAAGCCTAATGAAACGTACTATTCCCACTCATTTTATGGCGGTGTTTCTTCCACTGCACAGTTGTGATGAACCCGTCCCGTGATGGTCTCAACCCTTTGGTCGTGGTTCTACTGGATCCCTGACTCTCAGGAGTTATGATCTTCGGGCATTAAATAATGTTTCTAAGCAAATGCGGATGAGGAAGGAGCAGTGGAAGGAACCGTCTTCAGGATTGTTTGGTTAGGGGATCAAATCCTCCCCATTCTCGTCGTCACTTTTAGCAGTAGTCCCCAAATGTGGAATGAAGTAGTACTGGAATTCCAATCTAAAAGTCCAAGTAATAGGGCTCTTCTTAAATCCAGCAGACGCTCCTGAGAGTTGTTTTTTTTGAGTCTACGTGAGCCCCGAACGACTCCTAGGAGCCGAGATAGAGTGGAAAAAACTGTCGACGTATGAAATGGGTTGAACTTATTTTTCACATGTTTTATGTCCATTTTGGTAGAGACATTCTGGTTTGTCCGATTTCTGACATTCATTCATTATTCATTTACATTTGTTCATTTACATTTATTTTTTTATTTATAACACTAAAAAGGGGCTATAGGGACTTAATGCAGTGAATCCGCTGTTACTTAAGAACGTTATCTTACTCACAGGTGGTTTTACGGAAGCTGCAAAAACAGTTAGGATTTCCGTATGTGTTTCCCCCCCCCCCCCCCCCACTCGTCCGCCCTCAAGAGTCCCACTTCGAAAATCCCACGACTGAGAAGATTCGTTCTTTAGTTTCAGTTCGTTGTTGACAGGGATTAAGGCAATTTGAAATGCCTCAGCAGTCAATTTCATGTGAAATAAAGAAGACAAACGATGAGCGGGGGCCACATTGTTTCGCTTGAGTAACTGCTATTGTCCCTTATTGTTTGTTAAATATCAGAAGTCAGACACTACAGAACGACTAATTCCATTGTTCTCGTGACCAGTAATGTGACCAATTGTTTTTTGAAGGAAGATTTTGCTCAATTATTCTTCCGCTGATTGGTGTTGTTCAGTAAACAACTAATTGCTAATTAGTAATGTAGCCAGCATTCAACCACAAATCGTCGGGATTGTTGCTTCACGAGTTCAAAAATCAAGTATAAACCTAGTCTGAGAGTTTTTCAATAAACATTCACAAACCTTGGGCAGACAGTAATGTGGTGGACGATCTGTGACAGTGTACGCATATGAAGAGCTTCACGTATCCACGTCAACGGGTGTGTGGAACATGTCCTGAAAATTGGAGGCTTTAATCACATTGGGGCACCACTAGAGTAATCAGAAATGAGCCCGTAGTACTCCTCGAGTTAGGCATCATGATCATAGAGGAGTTATCGGTTGATGATGGTAAGAGAGGGGGGGGGGGGGGGGGGGNGAGTCGTATCAGCGGCGCTAAAACGATTAGTAATTCCAATCCCAAATTGTCTTTCGTTGTCGTCGAAGTTGAAAAAGCTGGTTCAAAAAAGGGGAAATAGAAGGCTGTGTCGGGACCTTTCGACGGTTCCTCCTTGAGAGGACGTAGTCCGGCATTGTTTAGGCTGCCTCAACTATTGTTCCATGTAACATGAATGTGCCTTCATGGAAGAAGGGTATTTTGTAAGGTAGGATGGGAATCAGGCATTGAATTTGTGATGTAGTGATTCATTGATTTACATATTTTCAACTTTGGGACTTCCGGATGTGAGCATTTCATCATTTCAGGTGTTTAGAGTTCCTGAAAAGACCCGATTTCTGAATAAGGTCTAGCCCACTAAGTACAGAAGCTTCCACCTAAAAACAATCGTGTCAACTGGGCTCAATAGTTCTGTTTTTCGTGGACATACAAATCCTCACGTAAACAAAGGTGCTGTTAGTTTGAAAACAAAAACTTGATAGCAAGGCATTAAGAGACACTTGTCACCGTAAGTGTAGAAGCAAAAACGTTTTCCTTTGCCCTTTCTTTCAGTTAAGTTGACGATCCTCCTAAAAAACGGTATTCTCAGCAAAATGTTTGATACAATTCCCAACGCCCAGGGCGGAGCGGGGGGGGGGGNAAAAAAAGATACTTCTATCTTCCCGTACGAGACTGGCACCAAACAACCAATCCTGAAGGGATGGGAGACTTGGTTTCCCTAGGCACAGTGGGGAAAGTGCCGCACCATCACACACTCATGGTTCTAGGATTGAATCCAGCATATCGGTACTGGATTCGATCCTCGGACCATGAGTATGGGCCTACAGTGATGGTGCGGCACTTTTCCCTCCACCTCCGGGTGATATTGTGATGGCGATGAATATTTACCCTTGTAACCCAGACTCTAGAAACCCAACAACACCACGTCAAGTGCCAAGTTCTCGCAGGAGAATTCGACATGCGTTCATTGTTCATAGCAAAAATGGCGTTCGTTTTCTCTTTACAAAATTCAATTCTTCTCAAAATTTCTTGCAGGAATAGACTTTGGTCGGTAATTCGTTGCCTTCCAAACAAATTTAGCAGTGATAGGTATGCTAATTGCAAGCTTTGTGTTCACAACAATTACCGTGAAGCATTCGAAGAACGAAGTCCTCAGGGACTGTAGGAATGCACCAGGCATATCAATGACGTGAGAATTGAATCTGGGTTCCTCGAGGGAACCTATTGCTCCTGAACAGGCCCCTTATCCTCAGAAAAAAAACTTACTGAGCATTTATCTCGAGAGTTTTGGCAAGCACTTGTTCGGCTACGGCATTTGTTTTTGCTATTGTGTGCAACAATGCGAGAGACGTCCTGCTACCGAACAATCCAAGCAAACGTCGTCGTAGCCCGTCCATTAGGCAATTCTCCACAGCCACTAAAAAAATTTCCTGCAGAAAGAACAGAGCCAATGAAGACATACTCCCAGCAACGACATAATCAGAGTGATTTCAGAAAACCCGCTATAAGGAAAACAGTTGTCTACTATGACAAGCTAAGCTGCTATAGTGCGAGAATTTGTTAGAAAACTTTGATTACTGTAGANAAAAAAAGATACTTCTATCTTCCCGTACGAGACTGGCACCAAACAACCAATCCTGAAGGGATGGGAGACTTGGTTTCCCTAGGCACAGTGGGGAAAGTGCCGCACCATCACACACTCATGGTTCTAGGATTGAATCCAGCATATCGGTACTGGATTCGATCCTCGGACCATGGGTATGGGCATACAGTGATGGTGCGGCACTTTTCCCTCCACCTCCAGGTGATATTGTGATGGTGATGAATATTTTCCCTTGTAACCCTACAGACTCTAGAAACCCAACAACACCACGTCAAGTGCCAAGTATTCGCACGAGAATTCGACATGCGTTCATTGTTCACAGCAAGAATGGCGTTCGCTTTTTCCTTACAAAACTCAATTCTTCTCAAAATCTTTTGCAGGAATAGACTTTGGTCGGTAAGTCGTACCCTTCCAAACAAATTTTGCAGTGATAGGTATGCTAATTGCAAGATTTGTGTTCACAACAATTACCGTGAAGCATTCGAAGAA